TTGAATAGCATACATGCTGTTTGGCCATTTGTCTCTTTTTGGTTCTTTGCTATCGTCCAATATTTTCAGACGGATTGGTGACCATAACTCTGCCAGGACTTTCGCGGCAGATCTTGGGGTTGCTCGGAGTGTTAATTGACWGGACGGACTTCATCGTTATTGTTGGTTCAATCAAATTGTTTTTTTGCTTTTTTTTGCGTGTCATCCTTGCGCAGGGGCCATGCTAATCAATCTTCTCTGTATCGTTCCAATTTTAACGGATGTCCCGAAGGACTGTTCAATCAATTGTTGTTGACGGCTTCTGAGCGCTGTTTCTGCATTGACTTGTGTTCTGCATAATTCATCATGGAAGGCGGTGAAGGTCCGTTAGGGAGTGAATGCAGACTGGGGCTGGTGGTCGACCCGAAATCGCGAGGAGGGAGGGAGGGTTTTGCGGGGTCTTTGGCCCCTGCTGCGCTGGTGGCAGGGTATTTCTGAGCGCTGTTTCTGCATTGATTTGTGTTCTGCATAATTCATCATGGAAGGCAGCGAAGGTCCGTTAGGGAGTGAATGCAGACTGGGACTGGTGGTCTACTTGAAATCGCGAGGGAGGGAGGGAGGGTTTTGCGGGGTCTTTGGCCCCTGCTGCGCGGGTGGCAGGGTATTTCTGAGCGCTGTTTCTGCATTGACTTGTGTTCTGCATAATTCATTACGGAAGGCGGTGAAGGTGAAGGTCCGCGTTAGGGAGTGAATGCAGACTGCGGCTGGTGGTCTACCCGAAATCGCGAGGAGGGAGGGAGGGTTTTGCAGGGTCTTTGGCCCCTGCTGTGCGGGTGGCAGGGTATTTCCACTGGCTTGCAAAAACCCCATCATGGTGGGAGGTGTTGTTTTCGGTAATGGTGAGAGTGGGTAGAGGTGCAAAATCCACCCTGAATCGCGAGGAGGTGGGAGGGCCTTTGCGGGGTCTATGTCTGCAGTTGGGGGCCTGTGGATTCAGACAGACGCCTGGCCCACAGGAGGCAGGGTGGTTTTGCAGGGTGTGGCGACACCTCCGGATGGTAGCCTTTGTCGTTGTTTTTATTGCGCCCTATTTTGGGGTTTTATACGCTTTCAAATTGGGTTCGTCTAGTTGTGTGGCCCTGGAATGAACCAGTCCGTGTATTGCACCCTGTTGGGGTTTTACACGCTTTTGAATTGGGGTTGGTCTAGTTGTGCGGCCCAGGAATGAGTCAGTCCGGAGTGCCTGGATCATTCCAATGGAGCCCCCCCCCCCTTTCTTGGTAAGGAACGCCAGGGCCGGTTTTTTTTTTTGTGCCCTATTGGGGTTTTATACGCTTTTGAATTGGGTTTGTCTAGTTGTTTGGCCCTGGAA